CAGCGAGCTAAGAAAATGTTTATCTCCCTGAGCTTGGCCTTCATAATTCCATTCCATCACAATCTTACACAATTGCAAATAAGAAAAGAAGAAATGGTTGAAAATGAAGGAATGAGCGAGAAGTGGAAACGGCAGAAGACATCATTACTGAAAAGTGTGGGTGCCTGTGAAAACTTTCTCCTTTTTAATTTCTTTTTTTTTCTTTAATTTTTTTATTACATTAGAGAATACAAATGATAGCCAAGTATAGCAGTATTTATACAATAGAAAGTATTAACACTCTAACAATTAAAGTAAATTAAACCTTTCAAAATAGAAAATGTATATCACTGTTAAATATGATTTCTGAGAGGTAAATGAAGAGAGAGCTGCTTGCAGAATTTAACCCTTTCTGTAGTGCCCAAGCACTACATTCCCCTTCCCTCTCCAGTAACCTCTTCCCCTCGTCTCCATCTTGACTTCTTCTTCTTCCTCTTCCTCTCTTTCTCCCAGAAAGAAGAAATGGGATATGTGCATACTCTTTCGGTGTTTGTATAATCTGTGTGCAAAGGAATGGGTCATATGTGCAGATCAATTCATGTTGTAAATAGGGCCTTTTACTTGCCAGGTAAATCATGTTAATTAGCATTTAATAATTCAATAAATATTAGTGGATTTTTTTTGCTGCTGGCCCTACACTTTTTGGGAGCGTGTGTACACAAATATGTCACATGCATATTTAGGGAGAGAGGGAAAACCTTCCAAATTGGTTTCAGCTACAGCTGGCAATCCTGGAAATTAGCATAGCACAGGATCTTTGTCTGTGATTGCATTTTATTTTTCCGTCTAGACTTCCTCGGTAGGACGGTCTCAAAAATTCAGAGTTGTCTTCCTTTGCGGTCAACATAGTATTTTTGCTTCACATTCCATTCTCTTTCAGAAGGTCCTCAGCAGCAGCTTTGAACACTAAGAAGCTTAAGTGGATTGATAGAACGGCTAATGTCACATGCTCTGACTTTTGCTAGCATAAGAATTTTGCGCAAAAATAAAGCAAATGCTCAGACCATGGGCCTTATGATGGTTTCATTGCTCTCTTGATATAGCATGTTATTTTTCTTGCTACTGCCAGGCAGACTTGTTTGAATAATAATAATAATAATAATAATAATAATAATAATAATATCATCATCATCATCATCATCATCAAACAACATCTGCCTATCCTTGGGAAGGACTCAATAGGTGGATAAAAATGCCAAATCCAGTCTAAATAACTGGCTGACTGGGTGACCAACCATAATAATAATTGCTTTAATTCCTCCACTTCAAAAGACCCCAAAAGACGTTTTATGCAGTCATAATGGAAAAGCATACCTGACTCTCATTACTTTAGCAACTCTGGAATGCATTCTCAAAATACATTGACACTCGGCGTATTCCAAAAACTGTGGGGACAAGTGAGCAGAACTTTTTTTTAAAAAGGTGCCTTTGAAGAACTACAGATAGTGTCTGTTATAAAGCTCACTCTAGATTCCAGGGCACAACATGATCATTCTTTAAAATCCCAGCCAAATATATTGGGGGGGGGAATTAAACCAATTACCCACCCTTTATTCAAAATACACTTTCTTATTTTTGGGTACAGCACATGTCATTTTATGCAAAATCGGTGTATGTTAATTTGAACTGTAATAGTATTATTCTAAGCCTTGCCGGGTAACTTCAGCTTAGGAGACAATGCTTTGTTTATTTCTGCATCAACGTTGTTAGCAGTCCATTGGCACATATGGCCAGAGGGAACCTTAATGAGATTCATAGAGAGAACACAGGGAACCCTGGGAAATACGGTTTTCTGGGGAAGGGAATAGGAATTTCCACACTTTCACCATACAACAACCCCCTTCACTTTCAAAGGAATTTATGGCAATTAAATTGATCCATAAATATCATAGTTCTGCAAATACCACATCAAATATCACACACTTATGCTAAG